TTTCGAATCGCCTGTTGTACGTGACAAGGAGTAGGGTCGCCTTCCAGCCTCGTGGGTTTTCTCTAGGTCCTCCGGTTTCCTCCCACTGCTAAAGACCCCTACGCGCAAGCGAATTATTGAAAAAATATTGAACCATGTTAGTCCCGAAATGACCTAGTTAGTGTCGAGTGGACGTTAAACCCCATTTCTCTCTATATATATATGATTATCATAAGAAAAATTATGGATGATTGAACTTTTAGCAAAAAAGGTCCTATGTAAACTGTGCCAGAATAGTCCACAGATGTCGTTTTTCAGCTCTACATTTCCACCTCCGGCGCTCGAGGGTGGTCGGCTTAGCGGACACAGAATCCGTGCTATGAGAATTTAACCTTATTTAGGACATAGTATCCGTGTTTTGCATTGAAACTTACATGTGATAGGTTGATGAATCAGTGTTTTGCAGTGAAACTTATAGATCATAGGTTGAAGAATCGGTGTTTTGTAGTGAAACGTTCAGGTGATAGGACAGAGTATCAATGTTTTGCAGTGAATATGGTGGATCAAATAAAATAAAATTTATGCTTAAAATCCTTTTGTATTTCTGATAAAAATGTGTGCCAGTTTGGCCAGGTTCAGACGTGTCCAACTACATTATTGTCGGGAGTGCTTAATGTAGGTTGGACTTCGTAATTCAAACATGAAATGGTTCCAAGTTGCCCGATTTAAAAATATGATAATTCACAGCTATCAAGGACATGCCTGCAGATAATTCCGAATAATACATGTGACATAACAAATTATATCCGAAGCAATATCAATTCTGTTTCTTTTACAAATAATATTTTTAATTAACAGACTTTTTGTGAGATTCAAAATTTCGCGAAGATTTTACATCACAGATATTAAAACGACTTGCATGTACTCAACATGTAAAACCAATCTGTAGGCTGAGTATAGAAGTAGGATCACAAAGCAACTTTCACTTTCTAATCAAAAAGAGTTTTAGTATTTGGATTACAATGTAACTTTCGAACTATAATCAGCTGGCGTTTTAGTATTAGGATTACAAAGTAACGTTCGATGTGTAATCAAATAGGGTTTTAGAATTGGGATTACAAAGTAACCTACGAGGAGTAATCACATAAAAATTTAGTATTGGGATTACAATGCAATGTAACTTGCGAGGTGTAATCCGCAAGAGTTTTAGTATTGGGATTACAAAGTAACCTTAGATGTGTAATCAGATAAGGTTCGAGGGGTAATCAAAGAGTTTTAGTATTGGGATTACGAAATAACTTTTGAGTAATCAGATCGAGTTTTAGTATTGAGATTACAAACTAACTTTCGAGGTGTAATTAGATGAGTTCATTAAGAGTTTTAGAAATGCGATTACAAAATAACATTTTAGGTGTCACGTGTGCACTCTTAAGAACATAATGTTGTAACTCGCCCGCCTGGACGTCCGTCCACAACTTGTTTGTGGACACTCTACAGGTCACAATTTTTATCCGATTTTGATTAAACTTGAAATATAGGTCCCAATGATCTCGGTTCCTTTCGATATTGGCAAGTGTCGGGCCGTAACTTCATGGATTATGTCCCCTGGTTGTATGGAAGGACACGTTTTATGCTTGTGGACACTCTAGAGGTAACAATTTTGATGAAACTTGAAATGTATGTTCATAACCCACAGATCTTGCTTGGTGCCTTGCAATATTCGCACATATCGGATCGTACCTTCCTGAATTATGACCCCCTGGTTGTACGAAAATCGCGTTAACTTGTGGTCCTAATTTTTATCCAATTTAAAAATAAAACGTTTTAGTATATCACCGTTACACCCTAATGATGGCAGAGTTCGAATTCCGGCTCCTCATTGTACGAAAAATCGCTTTTTTTTTTTAACTTGTAGTCCCTATCCAGAGGTCACAATTTTTATAGGATTTAAAAAAAAAGTAACGTTCATATATATATCACCGTTACACCATAATGTTGGTTGAATTTGAATTTCGTGAACGTCGGACCCAAACTGCCGGACAAAATGGCTGTCCCTCGTACGCAAATAGTGTAAAAGTATGTAATACCAAGGTTGTGGACCCTCTTAGAGGTCACAATTTTTAACCGATTTTGATGAAACTTGAGAGGTATGTTTATAAGCCAGACCATAACTGCCTGGATTGTGACCCCTGATTGTACGAAAAATCACCCTTTTTTTTAGTTTACTCTCTATCCATCTATTTCAAAACCTGGCAACAGCTGGTTATAAGATTAACATCGTTGCTGATTTGTTCGCCCCGACCCACGGTGGCGATAATGAATCGTTTATACAGATACGAAATACAACAGCAACTTTCATGATTCAAAAAAGGGCGTCTTTCATGGTTTAAAAAAGCGTGTTAGGCAAACCTGAGAGGAATGTTCTCTCAGCAATAATCTGTTGACGTAGTGGAATTTAACATTATTATGCCTGATCATGAATGCCATTCAATACTTGTCGCAGCTACAGTAATATCGAAAGTCCGCTTGTTATAATCTCTGTTTCAAAATATTGCACGAATTGCATAGAACAGAACAGAATAAAACTATATATTAAATCAATAATAAATTTAAGTAAAGGGAATATAACCCCAAATGAAATATTCAGTGTTATCAATTTTACAACAGAGTTGTAATGCTGAATCATTAGTATAATATTTAAGGACCCTATTACACATTAACGTTAAATGCCGTGTATTTGCAACATGTAAACTATGTTGACTTTTAATTCTTGATATTCAATGACGAATACAAAGATCAAACCAATTAATACAATACTTCGTGGTCTTAATCAAACTTATTTTGTGTATTATTCGATAAGATTAGTAACCACTGAGAACAAGCACATCCAATATCAAATATCCTCATTGATAAATCAATTCTAAATAAACATGGTTGTTTTGGACAACAACAAAAAACATGTGCAATGGTTGATTTATGGAAATTAATTACTCCTTACCTGGTCATTTTATAAATTAGGACTATTTTCCTTAGCTCCTAAAATTGATATCCATATTAAAAAGTAGAAACCATCAACACAAACTTGCCATGGCTGATATTTTGTAGGCAATAAGGTAGAGAGGTCGGCTACAAACGCGAGGTTGTGTTTACTTCAGATTGTTTACCCTCTCAACAATTGGGCGACTAGAAAAAAGCAGCGTAAATCTTGACCATAATCTACCGTGGAAGGGTGCTTAATCTGTTAATCCCTAATGGTTACCAATTTTATTTTACGAGTATATTTTTTAGTCGAGAAAAACCGGAGCGCGTATAATGTCTTGTGTATTTACAAAGAGAATTGAAAAGTGCGTTTTAGTCATTTTGTGGTATATACCTGACTGTTCGTTATACCCACGTTGAGCGTAGTGCAATAAATTCAATGACATTATCCTTACGAGAGTACAAATTAACCATCTAATGTCCTGTATGAAGTTCAATATCCTTGAATTATCACCAGCTTCCGCCAAGAAGAATATTATATCTCTGAACAAAGGAGGATTGTCACAGTTTTGTTTGAGCAAGGAGGAGCTGCTTTTTTTTGTTAATGTTGTGCACCTCGGTCCAACGACAGCATAATCGGTTTTAATATTTTTCTTGGATCGTGGAATAATGCAAGGAGTGCCGTTTATGGTCATTTTCTTCATATATTCTAGAAATCATATTTTGTTGTTGTAATCTTCTCATTGTTATTCAGTTCTAGATATTACGAAATAATTAAAATCATTATAATTTCATCTCCCCCCAATGGGCTGATTTTTTTGGTAAGAATGTAGTTACGTAGCGGCTAATGTATATTATCGATTGTCGTTTCCCAAATACATACAACAAATATTCTTGCACGGATGTTATAATTGTGTTAAAAAGACCTTAGAATTTTTTAATTTTACTCATACTTTTTAATAATTGACAAGAATGTTGCATTTTTATACAAATGTGCCCCGCATTTAAGCTACATATCAATTAAACCGTGTAGAATTTGACCTCGCTGCTGAACCCATCCAAACGATGCGTACATGACTTTTAAGTTATTTATTATTTCAGTTAGCAGCTCGTTTGACTAATTCTGACGAAAAGTTTAAAAAGTGGCGAAGCGTTTTAGATATCCTTTTCTATCTTAGCACACAGTGACGCATGGAGTAGAATGGATGTTTCGGGTGTATATATGTTTGTGATATTATTATCGTTTACGTCAATATTCGTCTTTAACCAAATGATATAATCGTAGAACATACATATCCGATGCCTTCACAAGTTTACTAGGAACAAAATATTAATGGGACCCTTAAATATATTGTGGGAAGGATCTGGTGACATAGCCTGCTATCTGGTAAGGCACCAGTATGTAGCTGTAGCAAAATGTCTACACTACAGCAATAGTAGCTCTGTGGGGGAATGAAGTTGCAACCTGCCCCACTATTAATATGTCATCCACTTAACCGTTTAAGTGTTAATGCCAGTTAATGGCGTCCGTATTTAGCAGTCATGGGGTCCCTCTTGAATAGACGGCTTGATATTAGGTTGGCAGATTGATACCTGTTCCGGACCGTTGAATCTGAAACTCTTATTATGCATTCTCTCTTCGGTGCTTAAGCATTGCCAAAGGGGTATTCAAGACTGGCGATTTTCATCCGTCAACTAGTCTTACGGGGCTTCATGCGTGTACATTTTTGTCTATTTCAACCATTAAGTGGGCGAGGTGGTTTAGGTTTGAATGTAAATGCACTGTTCAATTTCATGTTTGTCCATCAAATGTTTTGTAAGACACTAACGCTGTTTGTCGTGTTCAAACCTGGTGAGGGTGCTTTTAGACAAAGATAATTGCAATTAATTAGAATGCGTCATGTGTTTTAAAAGCTAAGATTCCCGAGACACGTTTAGCGTGAAAAGCAAGCCTAGGTACACAGTGACAGCCATGTTGTGGGCTATATAGGGGTTCATACATTAACAACATCATAATATAACCGGTGACCAACTGAGATAAGTAATATTTAAAACAGTTTAATCCGCTAATGATGATTATATTAAGCAGATGGAGTGGAAGCTGGGGCAGCTGTAGCACCGGTTCGTTCACAGACCATGCCATTTCCTCCTGGATTGGTCTCGATAGCAACACTGGTAACTTCTGCTTCGTTTACGCAAGTCAAACCTAGAATATTAATAATGAAAATGGTGTGTCTATATAATTCATGGAGTACATTCCGACCATTACATTAAGTGTCATAAATATTAGCTTAAAAACATAATGGAATAACTTATTTAAGCTCTAAAATTACCTCTAGATTAAAATGGGGTGGAAAAAGAAAAATCACATTCGATACTGTAATGTTATGTAATGTTATGTTATGTTCATTCTTAAATCGTGATCAAAGAATAACTTATATTTTCGAATTTCCTGTCTCTAATTAATTATTTAAAGAACGATAGCTGGGGTGTAGGGGGTGGTGGCTGCCTGGCTGGTAATAAAAGACTATCGGGTCAATATTACATTGGTATATTAAAGTACACACAGGTGACTGATCACAAATTCAAGAGACAATAAAATCCCGGACTCAGAAACGCTTCAGTACCTGCAGCACAGCCACATGATGTAGTTGAGCATGACTGTAAATACTGGCTTTTAGCCACACATCGACTGCTGAAGAAACTGCGTTGACAGCAGCCATTGTTACAATCAGTGTCTGTACTACATCTGTTGAACAGAAAAGCCTGAAATAATAATGTTTTATGTTTAAAACTGATATGAAAAAAATAGTTTTATTTTCTACTTCATTGGAAATACCAATGTAGTAATATAGTAGAAATCATTCCTATGATTAGGTAGTCTAGGGTAGTATATGAAAGGAGTAGCGCCAGATATTTTTAGTGAATAAAAATAGAACAGGATTAAAGTCTATGGACAAACGGTCCTACTAATCACCGACACTATTGCAATAAGGTGACCGACAAGGAAAGGTGTGTTATATTCTACACAGATCCAAAATTAGTATGACTTCGTAATTCTTTTAACTGATAAATGAAATTTTGACAAGATCGTTTTATTTCTTTTTGTCAATTTCACTTATCCATATTTTTTTTATGAAATTATTTAAATTATGGATACACTGTGTAGAAGATACTTATCTATAACGTATCGTCCTTTGTTGGTCACTTTTTGGTGATTAGTAGGCCCCTTGTATAATTTCTTAAGCTCTGTGATAGGTTTCCTATCTGGGAGGGGATCACGTGGCTAAGTGAATTAGACGCTGGCTCGCTAGCCTGGAGGTCGGGTGTTCGATCCCTGCATTGGCCGACAAAGTTCATCCAGATTTTCCGGCGTGGTTTCGCCTTGTCAGTGATGCAGGACGGAGGGCATGACAAGGACAGCTGTCTAGTCGTTCGGATGGGACGAAGAACCGAGGTCCCGTGTACACATTGGCATGCACGTAAAAGATCCCCTAGCAGTTGGAATTCGATATAAGAGTAGGCGATAGTGCCACTGCCCGGGCAAAATTTCCCTCATAGCACACTGTATGGCGTATGTCCGTCTTCATTAGCCCAGTATAGGAGCAGAACAGTAGGACGTTAAACCCCATTTTATTTCATTTCCTATCTGGGACTAGCCAAAAGTGCCTGGATAACAGTACTGTATATAATGTATATACTGTAGTCGAGTTATACTAGTCAGTGGTAGTCTTGGCTCTTCAGACACGCATGTTGAGATAATGTAATTTACAGTCTATCTATTCACAAGCTTTTGCGTTTAATATACATACTTAAGGGCACTTTAATTTACGGCATGTTATGAAATACCGGAGGACACCTTAGCCTAATATACATACTTAACGACACTTTAATTTACGGCATAACTTATAACGTACAACTTATTTAAAATTTCTGTTTTCCCCCGTAATGACTTTCGCTTAGGAACAAGCAACGCATACTGTATTTACTGTTTCTGTTTGTGGGTGGTTCAAACTGAAAATATTTTAGAGGAGATCTGGCGATGGCTGAAACCTGTGAACGTTTTGTCTGACCGACAATGAATGTCTAAAAGGTAGCCATATCAGTCACACATTCCTTCGTCTGTATGGTCCTCTTGAACTTAGGACAAAGTTTAAGATTAAGGTACGTTCGTTCCCGATTGGTATGGGGTGGACCAATGTCAATATCTTCGGTGGGTTCGTTTTGTTAAATTGCCAAAAATGCGTCTTGTTGATCGAGATGGAAGGCTTCGTTAAAAATCTGAATGTACGTCCTGATTTAAAGGAACGAAATATGTCCGATCATCGTCCAATTCGATTGGGATCCTACAAAATGAACTCTAAAAAAAACCATGAATAAATGTAGCCAATAGAGTTAGAGTAAATCGAAAATCTCATAATTTGGCTACTTTCGGTGTCGTGTTTCGTGCAATAAATTCAGATCTTCAGAATAGGTAGGGATCATATTTGTATTGGGTTTAACCTACAAAATATAATTTTAATAGAGTGATGGCGGGCAGATATCGCTACGATCGGTGCCGTTTTTGTTGAAAAAGTATCGGATCTAAACCAAACTCGATAGGGGCCGATATATTTGATACAGAATTTTCGGGTGTAGAGAGAATACAAGTAATTGTTGACCAACGGACGTACAGGCTCGATCGAAATATACGTCCGCAATCCACTGTGAGTGTATACAAAGCGATTATGGAAATCAAAGACAACAATCTGTGAATTCCCCTTTTATAAGAATGTATAAGAAATTTTTTTTACATTATAATTTTTTTTTATTTAGTTCAAGTAAATCAGAAGGTGTATTTCTAAATTTTAATTAAACATACATTATGCAAGAGCTGAATCTGCCTATTGCAGCTCCTTCTCTAGGCCTGAAATGCTATCTAAATTATTAATTAGACATTAATAAACTTATGCAGACCATAAGCAAATCATCGCTAGCCTGCGATATTCAGCGGGTTTTAAAATAATTAAACGTAAATAATTTATCGTACCGTCTTTATTAATGATGATCGGGGCTAGACTAACATTCAAAAGCAATTTGACTGAAATTTTTAGCATAATATTTACGTTATCTATTTTTTTAACCATTATAGAGAACTGTCAACTCTTTATCTAATCTCTCATAATGCCCCTTTAAGCCTTCAATCTCGATCGAAAAGACCCGTTTTGGCATTTGGCCGTTTGGCAATTGAAATTTTTTAGCGATATGATCCTACTCGGAAACGGCTGTGAAGTGTAATAAGTATCAATAGATGTGCCTCAGAAGTTAATAGCCCCCAGTAGCTAATCAATCGGGAGACAAATTTTCTGCGACCAATAATCCGAGAGATAATTATACTCAAGCGAATTGTCTGGTACCATTACTTAGAGAGCCAATTCTTTGCTATTTTGTCATTATACCAATATCATTATTTTAAACATACTGTCGACGTTCACGTGAATTATAGGGGTTGGATGGCCGAATGGCGTTGTATCATAAGGTCTGTTATTGAGTCAGCTGGCATGGTTTCGATTCCCCGGTTGTACATGACAAGGAGTGGGGTCGCCTGTCCAACCAGTGCCACTTATATGTTATGGGTAAACCTCGTTTTAATCTTCATAGCCCAGTCGGGGCAGAACAGCAGAACGTCAAACCACAATTCATTTCATTTCATTTTAATCTTACAGATTTCCTACCCTTGACATTTTGCTCTGTTTCTTAAAAGTCCCTGAGAGTGTTTGAACGATATAAAAACGCCTTGCAAACTACAATATGGTAAAAGTTAAATTTCTAATAGGGATATCAGTACGAAAATGAGGGGGCCACGGTGGCTAAGTGGGTAGGACGCTGGTTCGCTAGCCTTGAGATCGGGTGATCGATCCCTGCATTGGCCAATAAAGTTCATCCAGATTTTCCGGCGTGGTTCCCCCTTGTCAGTGATGCAGGGCGGAGGGCCTGACGGGGACAGCTGTCTAGTTGTTCGGGTGGGACGGAAAAACGAGGTTCCGTGTACACATTGGCGTGAACGTAAAAGATCCTTGAAGTTAGAATTCGATAATAAAAGTAGGCCGTAGTGCCACTGTCCGGGCAAAATTTCCCTCATAGCACACTGTATAGCGTATACCCGTCTTCATTAGCCTAGTTCGGAGCAGAACAGTAGGACGTTAAACCTCATTTCATTTCATTTCATTTCAGTCCGAAAATGGTTCATTTCCGTTCAGTATTTACAAAGATAAGATGAAATTTAATAGATCTATGCCACCCCTTATATCTCACTTCTTTTTCTTAACAGAATGTGCCGACAAAACAGGTCTGGATTTCTTCTAATTTGAACTTTCGTCGTTTTGGATTCTACGGTAAGCTTAGTCGGTGGACTGAGTATTGCCGAATGACAGAATGATATTAAAATACGACCGCTGCCATCTTGATATATTTTTCATCCGATTGAATCCATACCGGGGGCTTATCTATCGTTGATATTTTGATTTTGTTTTCTTAATTAAAAATTAAATAATCAATCTGAGTACCTATTTAGCTTGGATTACGCCGTGATAACTTTCATATTTTCCGAAAAATGAAAATCCCACACCACTACTTTTAATCAAATTATAAATAATCAATTCGAGTACAATTTAGCGTGAAAATTAGATATTTTCGAAAAAATGGACATGACGATCAACGGCTTTAAACATTAAAAAATGAAACAGAAATTAATGAGAACGTTACAAGCCTCATCGTCTTTAATACGGGTCGATTTTTGCGTTCTTTAATTTATTTTTAACGCATTAAATGTGTATTCTGATATAATTCTAGCATAAAGTTTATATTTTCAGATTATAAGACATTGTCCATGTGGGTAATATGAATAGCTTCCAGTTAAAGATGCATGTTTGCTATGGTATTTTAAAATAGATAATGGAAAAGGAATAATATTGAAAATTCCAAGTTGAGTTTGAAGACTAGCATAGTCTCGATTTTCATTGCTACCTTTGTTAAGATAATATACAATTTTAAATTAAGTTATTAAATGGCCATCGTGTTTCAGTCCGTTAAAAATCACAACCGTCCGATTTTCTAGAGATTTTATTATGAGTTTGTCATGTGAATAATAAATGTCTATTTAATAATTGATATAACATTTGTGTCCAAAAGAAAGATCTGCAATTTAGCCTTTAAATAATGCATTTTTAAACATGCAATATGGGAGGGCTAAATCTGCCTATTTCAGGTCTTTCTATAGACCTAATTTACACACCAAGACCATAATCAACTCTCGATGGCATCGGATGAATTCGATATTTAATGGATTTAACTACGTTTTCTGGTGGATTCGGTTACCGTAAAAATGGATAATCGAGACTTTGTTTATTACCGTAACATAACAACCGTAGTAATGACGATTGAGTCTAGCCTATAATTCTATAGTTAATATCTATCTTTACCTAATCTTACCTAATGTTTCTTTAAGTCTTATTAAATACATAAAGTTTGCTTTAAGGAGGCAACAATTTGTATATTATATAACTTTTATAACCAAACATAGTCCTTTTGTTTCTAAAGAACAATGAGTTTTAAGATGTGATATTACGGATTCTGTACAAAGTAAACCAATATACCATATCATTTTTCAGTGAATTTGGTAGTCGATATCACTGGAAAAAGAATATGATGTTCAAGGTTTGTTCCTACGAAATATGAATGCTCTATCGAGAAGCTAGCGCCAAAAGGTAGGAGTTAAATCCCATATCATTGATATAGACGTGAACAAATACTTTCTATAATATCGAATTTTGTTTTTGATTTTAAAATCCATATTCGATGTTACCTGTGTGGCTACGGTAGTCAGTAAAACAAGTGCTATGACGGCCTTCATCCTGGTTGCTTGGGGAACGCTGAAAGAATGATCCCTCTCCTTAATTGATAAGACTTATTTCTTGCAACGATAAGGGTGAGAAACTAACAGTCTTTTTACTGCTACTTGCAGTTAAATTCTCTTATCGATTGATAAGATTTTTTAATATTACGAAATCATGCTTTAAGGCAGTTTATCTTTATCTTTAAAATGCCCGATGTTAAAATTCACTATAGTATTTATAAAAAAGTTGCAATTATTCCAAACTTTGCACTAATAGTGTGCTACAAAGCAGATTATCTTGATGTCTATTTTTTTTATAAGCTTTCAATTATTTCCATATCTTCATTTAAGGGAGGGGGTTACCCAGATCATAAGGTATGTCATTGGCTTCTCGCTTGTATTGTGCGTGACAAGGACTAGGTTTGCTGGATTAAGGAAATGAAATGAAATGGGGTTTAACGTCCCACTGTTCTGCTCCGACTGGGCTAATTAAGTCGGGTATACGTCATACAATGTGCTATGAGGACAATTTTGCCAGGGCAGCGGCACCATGGCCTACGTGCATGTATACACCGGACGACTAGACAGCTGTCCTTGTCAGGGGAAACCACGCCCGAAAATCCCGATGAACTTTCTCGACCAATGCAGGGATCGAAAACGCGACCTCCAGGCTAGCGAACCAGCGTCCTACCCACTTAGCCACCGTGGCTCCCCGCTGGATAGAGGAGTACTGGTGGTTCAAGACAAAGGTCAAATACAATATTTCATCGTGGCCTTTCCATTAGTCGGCATTGTAAATATGAAACTATTATGATCGTATTAGCTTCATTACCAAACTATAGCAAATTGTAATAAAGAGTTGGCATTGTATTTTGTCTTGATCATTCAGTAATACGATAGTAATGGTGTCATATTTACCATGATTAGCTAATGGTATAGCGGACGGTTGGAAGACCAAGAAGTTATAGTTATTAAAATCTGTTCCATTTTCTTTTAACCGGAAATCGGGATTTTAACAATACTACAGGCATGAAATGGGGCATGATACTATTCTATTAACCCTGTTATGGTCTACACATGGGTTCATTGCCAATATCATGTAACACAGTCTGTAACCATGTAATATTTGAAAGCGAGTTTAATCAGCTAATTATAATTAAGCAGTAGGAGCTGCTGTTGTTGGAGAACCTGTTGTTGCGGTTTGTTCACAGACCATGCCATTTCCTCCAGCATGAACTTCAATAGCAACACTGGTAACATCAGTTTCCTTTACGCAGGTCAAACCTGGAATATTAATAATATAAAACCTATAACATCAAACATGAGAAGTCTACAGTTCATGGTATACACAATCTGATTAAATTACATATCTATATTTCGTTTCGTTTTTTTATAGTTTCGATGGCCTACACTACATGAAGATCTGATAGGTTGTACTGGAAGGTCGCATCAGGAGTCGTATGAGCGGCTATTGACTCTTTGACTTCAGACATTGATTAATCAATCAGCATTGACATTTCTAGTGATTTACCCATAGTTCCGTGCATCGCACACCAAAAAACTCGCCGTAACAGACCGTTTCATTTATAATCCCTCATTTCAACCAGAACGTCGGTAATACAACAACTCTTCCAGATCCTAGTGTTGTAAAGACAAGTAAAATGAAAATTTGCACTATAATAAACGAAACGAAATAGATTGTGGTATACAGCTCATACTTGTGTCATATTATACTTATATGTGCGTTACGCTGACTTATATTGAGTGATGTAAAGATTCATGCATAATAATTATAAATACTAATAATATCATCAAAAAAGTATGTAATCTCTAAAATTATGGAAATACAGTTTGCATTGATATCAGGATATTGTAGAGACGTTTAATATATTGCCAGTTATGGTCTTTGATAACTATTCCAGTCTCCAATAAAAAGATAGAATGGCGAAGGCCCCCTCTTGGTAAGACCGGACTATTTGGCTCATTATTATATAGGTGTATAAAAGCATCGAGGGTGCCGCTATGATAATACAAGTGCTGAATAAACTGTAACGTGGCATCTCCCCCACCGGCGACAAGCAGGCAGCGACGTACATAACGTTTCTTTTTCTACCAAGTGCAGATGGTAAAATAGATATAGAATCCAACATAAATAGGGTTATTAAAGGGGCATTAGGTAAGAGTAGATAAAGAGCTGCCAGTACGATAATAAACAAAGTCTCGATTATCCATCACATGATGTATTCAGATCCACTAAATATCGCAGGCTAACGATGGCATCGAGTGTTGATTAGGGTCTGGAGAAGTTAATTATAATGTACATAATTCATAATTCAGTTAACATTTCAGGACCGAAGAAAGACTTGCAATAGGCGGTTTTTGCTCTTGCATAATGCATGTTTAAGTGTCTTTATAATAAACGTTTGGACATAGAGAGCAATAATGGAAACTTCCACTTCACATAAACTACGTCATTGATGAAGAAACATACCCTTCAATTTTATTTCAATAATTCGCTTGTGCGTAGGGGTCGTTAGCAGTTGAAGATCGCAATCTAACCGCTTGACTAAAAGAAGGACCTTGTGATGTAAAAGTGACGTAATAAAATAAAACCAAGTACGAACAATCCAAACCATTAGACAAAATTCGAAGTCCTAAAAAACGGTATAGGCAAAGTGACGTGTTAGACCACTTGACTACCCAATAAAGTGAGTACGCCACGTTCAATTTTGCAATGATGGTGTAAAGTACGGACACCAAATTGTTCTATACCTGTAGCACAGCCACATGATGAGGTACTTGAGCATGCTTGTAGATACTGACTTTTAGCCACACATCGACTATTAAAGAAACTGTGCTCACAGCAACCATTGTTACAATCAGAATCTTGCTTACATCCGTTGAAAATGAAAGCCTGAAATAGCAATGTTGAATAAAAGTATAACGAAATATATAGCCTTCAATGGTACAAATAACCGATAAATATATTATGATATTTTTTTTATCATGAGCGAATCGATTCTTAGGAAGCCTGAATCTAGGAATGCTAATTATATCCGTATTTTTAATCCGTATTAAATGTAACTTGTGATTCACGTGCTGTCGCCTCACATTTTGTCGTAACTTTAACGTTTCAACTTTCGCGTTCTTAAGGGGCGAAAAGTAGAAATTATGAATGTTAGTTGTAGGTCTATAGAAACAGACCTGGACAATCTGTTTTTATAATAACGAATTATGTTTCAACTTTAAAATCCAAATTCGATGTTACCTGGGTGGCTACGGCAGTCAATAAAACAAGAACAACGGCGGCTTGCATCCTGGTTTCTTGGGTGTCGTTGACAGAATGATTTTTTTTTTACTAAATTCGAATGCTGATAAGATGAGGTTGTTTCAGAGATTAGGATGGGAAACCAACAGTCAGTTGACTTCTACTTGAGGGTTAAATTCTCTTATCGATTGATAAGATATTTCTCAAGTACGAAATTATGCTCCAAGACAGATTTTATTTCAATTATTTCCAATCGATGTCACGCAGGGACAAAATCGTCTATTTTGTCACATACTGTCTTGAGACACGTGGATTCAAAGAGATTGGGGTGGGAACATTTTATTTCTGCTTAAAGTGTGTTCAAATTTATTAAACTACGTTAGCAGACCTATAGATAAATTATGCGTGCCACTAGTATAATGCTTCATCTTTACCATCATATACACTTTAATATGTTTCTATACATCTTTAAATACGCATGTGGTCGTATATTGTCGCCGACCCTGTCATAAGTAACCATTTTATAGGTCAGAGATATTTTAAGATTAGGTTATAAAATTTGTTAGTGGACATCGCGCATCAATTATTTCTAGTGTGTTTGCTGCCCACCATCCTAATCTTGTAATCATGGTACTGGACAGAGTTTTTTTTAGATTTCTTGTTCAATTCCAGGATTATTTAACTATCACTATAAACACGAACCATATAGCAATGTTGGCCGACTTTGCTCTTGTGATCGCTCCACAGGTCAGGTTTGTGACCTTTTTTTATATTATTCCACGAGTAATAAAGGTAAGCAGCTCGAAACTTAGACATTTCAGAGTTAATAGGTTACCATTGTCATCAAATTCTTCTAAACGCTTTCCGGGGCCACAAGTTTAGTTTATTTGGGACTGCTATGACTAGAAACAAAGAGCTGTCCTATTATATTAAAAGTTATTGCTCAACAACACATTCTAATCGCTCGAAACGACAGTACTTGTATGATTTCTATTATAACCATACAGGTATAGGTCAGAGGAATAAAATATATAGTCATGTTTCAATTATTGCACTATGTTCAATTATTGCCATATTATCACTTTCTGTGTCAGAGTTTTTATGATTTTTATTGTGCAATTCTTGGAATTATTTGATTAGTTGATGAATCCAATCAATTATATTTAGAGTTATTGCCTTTGCCATCGACAATGTTTAATCAATGTTAGCTTTTTTAAGATATTATGTTCGATCTTGGTGGGATTCTGAAAAAATTCTCTTCAAAACTTTGAATAATAACACAGTGTCGCCGTTTGCAAACAGCCCGGGTGACGGCGTAGCTGTCGTTGGTTGAGGAATACTGTTACTGTATGGAAGCATCCACTTGATACCTTATTAGGTTGTCGGAAATTAGGATTTGTTGAACCAACGACCCGAAGCGAGATTATATAAAATCAACAGCCATTGTCTCCTTGGTGTATCTCTACGAATAAAATTGGTCATGGGGATGAAACGAATATTTCAATTTTTAAGAATTTTATTGTGACATTCTTGTAACAGTTTTGTCAAGATGATGAATCATTTCAGTCCTATATTAAGTTATTGCCTTCGCCATCTTTGCGAACATGTTTCAAACTTGGTGGAATTCCCGTAAATTCTTTTCAAAATGTCAAAACTTATATCATATGGTGACAACCTTTATAAACAGTCAGGGCAATTAAGCCGTCGGATTGTGTATATCTTGCAACCTACATGTATGTTCAATTTTATTGGAACATTGTTAATGCATATAGAGTAGGCGTACTCATTCTGAACAATTGATACTACATGACTCTTAGTTCACATGGAATACCATATGTGACGGTGTCCCTTACCCAATATAAATTAAGGGCACTTTATAGGTTTACATTCTAATATAGGTAATTTAATGAAACTATAGGATTATGATGGACGCAAACTATTCTTGACTGAATACAGCTAACGAGAACGGTCATGAAAGTTGTCATTTTGACATAACTGTATTCGTCAGCGGTCTCGTAGGGGTTTGCAGAGGTGCGGGTAAAGACTTTTGAGCTCGCAGTGTGGCCGATTCGCACATTGGGTGTATATTGCTTCATCGTCCGCTGTTCGTCCATACTTTGCAACCCAACATTCACCAGACTTCCACCTAACGTACATAACGCTAAAATACATATATGCGTGTACAGTACAGATACTGTGACGATGGCTTGTTCACAGACCATTCTTTTAAATCCAGTAAATGTTGTCAGCGTGGATTTTGATAACAGCACTGGTAGCATCTCCTCCTGCCACAGGTATTAATGTGATACAAATATATAACATAAATAACGGGAATACTGCAGTCCATGGTAATATTCATGCACAAGCATGCTCAAAACACAGTCCTGAAACGATCACAATTGTCACAAAGTAAATGTTGGATAGTTATTTATTTCCAGTTACGGGTCATTCCACACTGTTGGGAATAAGTAGGAAAAGTCCCTTTAGGCACTGCAGGGGATTCTTATCCGCAGATCTCAAGGCCTTTGCAGGACCACAGGATTGTAAGAGTTCCCCCAGATATTTTGGGGTAGTGCCATTTAAACACAGAATTTGATAATGTAACAAACGAAGACAATGTGCAGTTCTTTTAGAGCACGTGTTATCTAATTGTAACGACGAGCAAGAGATTAGTATCCTGGCTGCTGTATTCTGGATCTTGTGGGGTCGCCAATCCATGAAATATAGCGCAGCGACCAGTAAACTAACACTATGCTCAATTCTGGAGATAATAAACGAGAACACACATATAATTAGATATGGTTGATTTGTGTTTCCATACAATTGATAATTGCATAATTCATGCGAAGGGCGTCTTTGAGACACAATGAGTTTGGTTTTGGCATTAATGATGTAGATTATATATTTCTTGAGGCCATGCCTGGATCACTGCCGCACATTCACATGTTGATGTTGTTGCGCATGCTTGTAGATACAAATATTTAGCCACACATTAACTCCGGAAGAAACACCTATCACATAAATTTTAAGATTTGTATTGTGAAATTCTTGGAATTGTTTGAATCATAACGAGTCGCATACCATTTATTTTTTAGAGTTATTGCATTTGTCATCGAGAATTTGTAATCAAGATTAGCGTTTTGTGGATTATATTTTTCAAACTTGGTTAAATTTTTGTAAATTCTCTTCAAAACGTCCAAATTTCAGGAAAATGGAGACAACCTTAAAGATACATTGGTTAATATTGCAAGTCTTTCTATAGGCTTCAATTATTAATTAGACCTTTTTTACATAACAGGCCCAAATTCAACTCTGGAGACCCTCGGATGGCTTGGATACAGCTTAAACTGTCGTCCATTTAATAATAGGGACCTTTCGCATCGGTACGAAAGATAATACGAAAACGAAAACGTCATCGATTCGTGTGTACCTGTGACGTCAATCCGTAATGAGTGTTCGGCCAGTGAAAAACGTTACGAGTATGCAGCTGGATTTACGTAGGTATGCAAACGAATATGTTTCTTGTCACATATATTGAATTTTCCACCGTTTTCCGAGGCTTTGTGTATATTGTTGATTGTGTAGAGTTCATAGAATGTGCTCAAGTCTGCTTGACTTGTACATCTTTCGAAAAATCGATTGAAAACTTTGATCGAGAGGTTCATGGAGTGGAAATTAACGCCATCTAGCTGTCGGATTGCGAAATCGCCTGTTAGAGGATACGAAAACGTAAACGAACATGTTCGTTTAGGTGTTCGTTTTCGTACTGATGCGAAAGGTCCCTAATTAAATCATTAAATGGCTGACCAAGCTAACATTTACCGTTAATCACTGACTGACGTCACTACCGGAGATGTCAATAAAAGAACTGGCAATCGAGGGTACCGTAAGTATTGAAAATGTTACTTGATAATCGAGAATATGTTGGCGTTATCGTCTGTCAATTCTGGGAGACGGTGCGGAGACAGTTCGTGTCTATTTCCAACCTAACCTTCCTACAGTGATAATTTCGTTCAGAATACAGTAATTTGACTGAAATTTTCAATATTTTCTTTGTTTATCATCTATTTTTGATGAACTGTTATATTAAGAAAGGCCATCTTAACTAATGTATCTTTAACAAAAAGCCCTTTGGAGTCAATTATTAGTTGACGTAGGTCTGTTTTCATATTCCTGCTGTACGTGGATTCTACACAAGTTTTGTTTATTTTGTTGCCAGGAATCATATGTTAAAATTTATGAGGGACACTGTTACTGCTTTGTAAGCGTTCTTTATCCTGAACACCTGTAAGGGGAATATGTAGTAATGTCACTATTGGTTGCCATATAATTAATATGACACGAAAAAGTAATATGACTTTATACGTATGTCTAAAATCATAGTTTACGAATTTTGCATTAGACGATCGTGTGCGTATATCCTATAATAATAATTTTAAGAGAAAAAGAGAAATGGGGTTTAATGACCACTCGACACAAACTAGTTCATTTCGGGACTAACATATGGTTCAATTTTATTTCAATAATTCGCTTGCGCGTAGGGGGTTTTAGCAGTGGGAGGAAACCGAATGACCGGGAGAAAACTCATAAGGTTGGACAGGCGACCCTACTCCTTGTCAAGTGCAACCGGGGAATCGAAACCACGCCAGTTGATTCAATGATAGACCTTGTGATACAACGCACACGCGCTAACCATTCGGCCACCTAACTCCGCTAATAATAATAGAAATACCCACCGTTGTGGGACCAACGAGCGTCGAACCTATCGGACCACAAATAATTTCCGTGTCAAAATAACTAAGAACTGCATTTGTGCACTTACATTTATTTTACGCCTTGTGGAAACTTTTAACAAATGCTACAGATTGTGAGGTAAACAAGGGCCCATAAATAACATAATCTGGGACCAAATGAGACAAGCAATGTTTAAAAACGAGTTTAATCAACTAATTATAGTTAAACAGATGTAGAAGCAGCGGAAGGGTCTGCTGCCTTTGAAGCCGCTATCGCTGTGTTTTTTTCACAGACCATTTTTCTAGCTCCAAAAAAGGTTGTTATAACAGTACTGGTAACCTCTGATTCCAAAATGCAAGTCAAACCTGGAGTATAAACAATAAAAAAACTATAACATATAATTCATGTTCTACATACCTGGCAGTTGGAATTCGATATAAGAGTAGGCCGTAGTGCCGCTGTCCGGGCAAAATTTTCCTCATAGCACACACTGTATGGCGTATGCCCGTCTTCATTAGCCCAGGTTAGGAGCAGAAAAGTAGGACGTTAAACTCCATTTCATTTCATTTCATTTCGTTCTACATACCGGTCAGTTCTGTAATACTGTTGAAATTCAATAAGATCTGACATAGCACAACCTCGGCCAAACAAAAGTATGTAATGCCAAGGGATATAGATAGATAATCCATAGAATCTAAATCAGAATCGCCAAAAAATAGTCTACTGCAATGAATACTTTAGTTTTTTTGGGTTTTTTTTAAATAATATAGCTTTAAGTTACTAGGGCAATACCTGCATCAGGGTTTCCCGTGGTTTCAAGCTAACGAGATACAAATTATAACATATAGATATTCCTTCCGGTACTAACCAATATAAAAATACGTGTGCAGTTTTTCTACTCAGAACTTTCATACTACCTAGATCCAATCCAGAGAGACGATTAGTATTCTTGGGAGTGGGGACATTTGTGATTAACAATGTGCCTAGTGCAGTAAGAATGGATGTATTGTCTGTTATGGTCATTGTTCAATCTTCATCGAGGAATGACTAATAATCTCGAATTTCTAGTCTCCAATACAATTGTGAGAAAGGGGTCTTAAAAAGTCTGGTGCGATGGTGATCTTCTTCCAAACATAACATTATTTTCTCTTTCCAGCAACTGCAGAAGGTACACTACAAGGAGTATTACAAGTGTATATTTTATGTTAAAACGGCCATTATTGGGATACAATGACATAGATATGTTCTATGTTGAATTGATGATTTAAATCATATATTTCTTTACCTTCAGCACAGTCACATTCTGTAATGTATTTAGCTGAGCATCCTTGTAGATATTGACTTTTAGGCCTACATAGACTTGGTAATCCAGAAAAAAAATGGCGCGTACAGCACCCAGTATCACAATCAGAGTCTTTATGACATTGGCTGACAATAAGCGCCTAAAATGTATTAAACAAATACATAGGGCCGGTAAATTATTGAGATAATTAATTTTGTTAGCGAATCGATTCTTATAGGAAGGCTGTACTGATAATTACTTTTTTGTTTAATATCTTGTAATTTAATTATATTCTAATATGAATAAAATGAAATGAAGTGGGGTTTCACGTCCTACTGTCATGTACCAAAGTGAGCTAATGATGACAATTTTGCCTGGACAGCGGCGTTTCGGTATGCTCTTCGTTGAAGGGGTCGTTTACATTCACGCCAAGGTGTACACCAGGATCGAACTTGGTACCCCCTGGCTGTTGTACCAGTGTCTTAGTCACTGAGACACCGTGGCATCCTTGGTCTTATATAAAATATATAGATCTATGATCTGTTTATTATAAAAGCTCCCGTTTATTTTATTTTATGTTAGAGACTTTTGGCAAGCGGAATTTTTCCCATCCGTATCACGTATCCATATTGTATACGTTATACGTTGAATCAATGTAATTTTAGAGTTTTGGCATATTTTCGCGTCACGTACGTGTGCGTCGCTAAACTGATCTTAGTTCTATTACAAGCATAAATTAGGAGGTGAGGACGAACAAATAACGTAATTCGTTTCCCCCATGTTCGTAGATAGTTGATTCATTTGGGATACAGTGCCTATGAACTTTCGGGAGGTTTTAGTACACGCTATTATCAGAAACAAATTTCCCGAAGGGACGGAAGTCGCTCGACAGTCGCTGGGCTATGTAAAATCTTATTAAAAGTTTTTCGACTTCGATTCGGCAGCAATTTTTGGTTTCACTAATATATCATTTCAGAAAGTTTATACCCCTTTACCATACAATAAAATCATTTACAGATTTGCAAGGTCCCAACTCGATAAATTTAGCACGTAGACATACAGACAGGAAAAGTATGAAAATTCCGAGAAAATCCCATCAAAAATAATGATTAAATTCCAGTCTTTATCATGGTTAAAATCACATCAAATAAACACCTTTGTGTGCTAGGATACACATAGATTCATAAAAAGGCTGATACAGCATTTTTGCGTCTAAAAGTGCTGCCGTATCCGTGTGAGAAATGCACACACATTGATGTCACACTTAAAATCCATACGGATACGCGATAGGGACCAGGAATTTACGCTTGCCAAAAGTCTCTATTGGCGATACCCTATCTACGAGGGGTGATTGATAAGTAGTGAGTCTCACACAGAAAGAAACAAGAAATTAAAATCAAATGCATTTATTTCTCAACATAGTCCCCCATCAATGTAATACACTTTTGCAAGCATGGGGTGCAGAGCCTTTATTCCAGTTCTGTAGACGTCTTTGCCTTGGGTGTGTAGAAAATCATCCACAGCGGCAATGGCGTCATCGTCAGACGGGAAATGCCTACCGGAAAGACATTTCTTCAGAGCAGGAAACAGATAGAAGCCTGAGGGAGTTAAATCAAGAGAGTTGGGTGGATGCTGAAGAAGTTGAAAACCACAGTCATGGATTGCTGACATGACAACAGCTGATTTGTGCACCGGCGCATTGTCCTGGTGGAAAATCACACCTTTGGTCAGCTTTCCTCGTCTTTTGGTCTTAATTTCTTGCCTCAACTGCCTTATAAGTGCTGCATAGTATCTACCGTTAATTGTTTGACCCTTTTGGAGGTAATCCGCCATGAGAACACCCTCAGAATCCCAGAATACTGAGGCCATCACCTTTCCTGCCGATGAAACAGTCTTCGCCCTCTTTGGGGTCGGCGACGTCACATGTTTCCACTGTTTTGACTGTTCTTTTGTTTCTGGCTGAAAGTGGTGGACCCAAGTTTCATCCATAGTAACACTTTGTTTTAAAAAGCGGTCAGGATCGGTTTCAAATAAGGCTAGATTCTCTTCTGACATGATGTGTCATGAACGCTTTTGATCAGGCGTCAAAAGCTTTGGCATCCATCGTGCTGAAACCTTTGTCATTTCCAAAGTTTCAGTGATAATAGAATGCACTCTCTCCTGGCTAATACCAACTACCCCAGCTATGAATCGTTCAGTAACTCGCCGGTCATTTATTATCAGATCATGGATTTTTTGTACCATTTCAGGTATTGACACAGTTTTTGGTCGACCAGGGCGTGGTTCGTCTTCAATGCTGTCTCGGCCACGCTTGAATTCAGCTGACCACCATTTAATTGTGGCATATGAAGGAGCGTCACCTCCTAATGTCTCAACCATATCATCATGTATGACTTTCGGTGTTAGACCCTTTTTATACAGATACTTAATCACAGCTCTGTCTCCATATGGTCCATTTTCTGATAACAACAGACCCTACTTGATTGTTATGACCTTGTCACAACCAAACAGTTTAACCGAATGTGATGAAAGTTTGTGACAGAGCCCGGGGAACATAATAGTGCACGTGCAAAACTTGGTATCATTGTGTTGCACGGTTTTCCAATCGAGGCTCACTACTTATCAATCACCCCTCGTACGACAAAGGTCCGTTTGTTTTTCCATAAGTGCCCCAAGGTCCCCGGATAAAAAGTGTATCAGACATTTCTATAGAAAGGAGAGAGAGAGAGAGAGAGAGAGCGAGAGGGGGTAACTCCAATCGCCACAAACTATGTCATTTCGGGACTAACATATGGTTCAATTTTTTTTCAATAATTCGCTGCGACGTAGGGGTTTTTAGCAGTGGGAGGAAACTTGAGGTCCCGCAGAAAACCCACGAAGTTGGCCAGGCGACCCTACTCCTTGCCACGTACAATTAGGGAATCGAAACCACACCAGTTGATTTAACTACAGGCGTTCTGGTACAACGCGCACGCGCTGACAATTCGGCCATCCAACCCCCATATAGAAAGTAGAAAGTAAAAGCTAGTCACGGGACATATATGAAATGTGGAAGATAATACATTAGACATGGACTTTAATGAATTTTAAAATCCGAATACGATGTTACCTGGGTGGCTACGACAGTTAGTAAAACAAGAACAACGGCAGCTTGCATCCTGATTTCTTATGTGTCGTTGACAGACGGATTTTTTTCTGAGCTCTCTTGCTGATAAGACGAGAGTTTCAACGATAAGTCATATTTAGTCTCGAACATCTCGATCATTCCGTAATTCAATGCACATATTACGATTTACGCTGTCTGTTTACCATTCGTTCCGCTTGCCAACAGACACGGGGCTAACTGACCAACATTTTAATTCCTAAATCGATGATTTTAGTTGGAAAAACTAAGTATACTTCGAGAATTTTGAGTAATTATTCTGCTTCCATTTAAACATGTATTATGCAAGAGCTAAATCTGTCAATTGCATGTCTTTATTTAGGCCGGAAATGTTATCGAAATTATTAATTAGACATTAATTAATTATCCAGACCACAATCAACTCTCGATGTAACTCACTGCCTGTATATATATGTCCACCATTGTATTTTAAACATAAGATTTAACTATTTTATATGTTTGGAGAGAACATATATATAGGCCTTTGCCTGTTGTTCAATCCAATTCAGTTTATTGAATAAAATATTGTTTAAACTAACTCTCGATGCCATCGCTAGCCTGCGATATTTACTGGATTAGAATCATATCTGCTGCACAACGCTCATTGATAATTAAATTTAAAAACTGGATAATCGAGACTACGTTTTTATCGTACCGACTTTAGTAATGATGATCGAGGCTAGGCCAAAAATTCAATCTCTAAATTCTCCGTTCAGAGTTGATCTATTTGACTGAAATTTTCAGCAAATTCCCTTTACATTATCTAGTTTTTAGCTATTACAGTGAGAACTGACAGCTTTTTATCTAATCTTCCATAATATATCTTTAATAAAACCGAAAATGTTTATCTAGTCTTTGTGTGTATTAAATATGTAAAACGGATAAAAACCACATTACAAAATGGTATATTTTTTTTTAATATGGGGCCATTCAGGACAGAGATCTATTCTCAAAGTAGACAGTTCGCTGCGCAATCTACTACTATACTACTACTGTACAATGTGGGCATATAATATAAAACAATGTTGGAAATCAAACTCCACAATGTCTATAAATTTAATTCAGCTTTAAATATTGGATCGTTTGCAAATAATGAACGGAATTCAGTAAAGATAGTTTGGGAATAAAATTGGTTATAAAACGCAAAAACATGTCCAAGGTTCTAAAGCTAATTATCGGAACTTCGAACATCACACCTTTACCGAAAAATTTTCGATAGTTTTTGTACAGCTTTGATTCTGCCTTTCAAATTAGCATTTATTCAAGCTACACATCTGACACATTTTTCAAGTTTCGGTGAATATTCATGATTTGATGCGGATGTATCAGGAAGCAGACATACATGAATTAAAGAAATCACCGACTAAAATGACTCCGCAGTCTGTATATTCCTTTCTGGTGAAGAAAACAACCGAGATTATCAACAACCTTCAATATTTTGATCAGATGATTGTAACATGTTGGATTCTTTGTGGTTTTAAAGATCATCGAAATGTTTTTAAAAAATGTTATAGGCCGAATATGGCATAAATAAGTTAAGGAGAACAGCATTACTAGTCTGAGCCCAGATATAAATACAGGAGTTACTTCCCTTTCAACAAATACGTTATTAGTCACATGCGTCTCTGAAAACAGTTTTACTACATTGGAAATAAAAACGTTAACGGGTCTAGCAGTAAAAAATGAATTAGATTGATAATATCCCAAACACAGCTCGGAACAGAGCCATATTTAGGATTGGCTGAGATCCTTTAAAACGTATGGCATATGTTTAAGGACCGGTGAAAATTTGGTTGTAAGAACCGATTCGATAATTATTTTAGGCCCCATTACCATTGACATTAATCGAATGAAATACCAGCAGCTCACAAGAACACAGTTTTATTGTTCGAACAATGATTGTTTGAAAAAAAATGTCTTTCTGTCTTCTGGTGCTCAAATGTGTATCCACCCAATTAGGCATTTCTAGGTGTTAATGACAATATTTTATTGTTGATTGCATAAAAAGAAGACTAATACAAGACCCTTCTTCGAAACAAATCAGTGTCATCAACGATATCGATTGATTGAAACCGAATTTTATACATTTATGATATTCGGAATCGCGTTTTACTGCAACAAAACGGATACATTATTAGTATTTGTGCATTAATCTGGCAGATTCGATTCATTTTTAGAAATAACTAAATGTTCATTACGCACTATGATTTTATTCTCTATAGACTCCTTAATGCGCTGTATATTGTGCGTTTGTAAAGAATTGTTATGTTTGATTACGAATTTCCTTAAAAAAATATAATGAATAAATCGAATATTCTGCTCTTTCACAAGAACAAATATGTTCCATATTAACACATTCTTTGTTGTGGTGTTTAATTGATTTTGAGAACTCTGTTTTAAGTTATTAGTTTATGAGACAGTCTATTTAGCTTCTGAGACAACATCGTTTCACTGAAATAAACTTTGAATCCTGGGTCTATTCACTACATCATTACAAGTGAATGCTTATCACAGACTTACATCGCACCGATTCTATGACCAGATAACGTCTTGCGCATCCCTTCCTAGACTTATAGATTTGAGATATTCAATATTAAATTTCAGTATTAAAGCTTTTATCCCGGACAGTTATCCGTGTTGGACAATGTGAAAAAATGTTCATGGATTGACCGAAACTGGAGGATCTCCGTTACGATTGTTTGACAAACACTTAAGAAACCCGTCTTACCGGCAATCGTGAATTTTTCTTGTTAAAGAGGTCTTTTTACCTAGTGTTACTGGTATCTGTAGACACTAGCCTTCCTCCAGTAGTCTTCTTACTGATCGATCACTTCTTACCATCTGCCCAGTCCTTTAGACCAACTCATCGAATTCTTCGTTTCCTGGCATTCCTGAATTTATTGCTATAGTGCGTAACTGCAGTTGATACATTTGTTTCGGATTTGGTTGAAAAGTATAATTAGTTGATTCTTAAATATCCAATGCATATTCGTAGATAATAATTATTTCATTGAAAAACTTACATTGATTTCTTAAAGAAGTTTTAAATGGTATTGGAAGACGTTCTGTAGCAAATCATTGGAAAAAACAAACGATTTTTCCCACTCGCCTTATCGGAAATTCAGAAGCGACGACATTACAATATGGTGAACCTTATTGATCGCTTAGATTCTTTCATTTCATGAATCTAAGCATCCAAGTATTGAGCCGCATCTTAGAGAAATATCCTTTTCCTAAGCCAAGAGAAGAAAATGGTGATCAGGAAAGTTGAATGTATCCCACAAGGATCCCAAGTTTAGAACCAAGATTTCTGTTCGGAGCTGGCTTTTAATGGACCCTATTTGTTCTCAGTTGTGTTCATAAAACCACATAAACGTACCGTATAACAAGATGTGTTTTATGACCAGCTCATTCATGGAAGACGTTCATGTCGACGAATTCTACCTTGGCTTTTATTGATATTTTGATAATTATTGTTTAAAGTAATGCTGAAAAAGGGTGAGGCCAATTCGTGGTTATCTTTGTGACATGATATTAATATTGGTTGATTAATAATCAACGGATATACCAATGCAAAATCTAGATAACGTCAGGTACCTGCTCGGTAGTAGAAGAAACTGTTATTCTTCCCGCTTGAAATATACGTAAGTATAAGATTATTAACTGCCTGAGTGTTTTGTGTATTCATTTGTCAGTGGTATTTAAATATTGTGTTGATATGTGTCCCGGCTTGATTAGCTCAACAATAATAATTACTCTTTCTCACGGTTGATTTAATTATGCTAATATGAAAGATGCAAGTGTCACTAAATGCTCTAGAACTGTCTCACACTGGCTTGTTGTGTCACGATAAGGATCCATTGGCTTAAGGAACAACATTAACTCTATCATTTGTCTGATTTTAACGATTAAATACGATATTTAACGTTTCATTTACAAACGATGGTGGCAGCTGCCCATATATTATTATATTATTGTTAATTGTAACGATTTTTTTTTCTCTGCAAATATTCAGATTCGTTTACTAACATGCGTAGATGTGTTTGTGTATTGCTTGTGAAGTGGTTTAATATTTTGGGGAATAGAATTGGTTATGTTTGAGGTAATATTTACAGATTGATATCATATATATTTATCTAATTAGTTAACGGACTACGTGTATTATGTGAATATATAGTCTGGTAAATGAAGCGATATCAAAGTTGTAAAAATCAATAACTCGTTGTTCTAGTTGTGACGAAAACAGATTAGCCGTCATCCTAAACTCTGGCCTATATTAAATGGCTGAAAAGTTATTAATTCAAGGAGTTATGGTCAATAATTTACTTTTAATATGAATTTATGGGGGGTTTTGGTTTTTTTGGGGGAGTTTTGGTTTTTTATTATTATTTTCTCTTTTGGGGGAGGGAGTATCACTTATTGAAATTCATTCATTATCTATCTACATTCTTTATTTAACAAATAATTTCAAAATGTATTTTTAAAAAATCATATGAAACACCCAATAAATTGTCTTATATTCGTAATAATACTAAATGCCTGACCTTTGACCTAGAAAACTACAAATCAATACCAATGTAACAGCTACGGGAATATTAAGAAATATATATTATTATAATAATTAATTACATTTTGTTTTAAAGATTCTGTTGATTGGGTGGGGTTTTAATCTTTTTTAGAGAACATTTATCGTGTATACTGGATATTACATTATACTGCCATTAAAATTTCGAACATTACAATTACAGTATAATGTATTCTGTTTCACTACTCAATACCGCCATTATATTAATGTTTGTATATTTGGTTCTATAAGTATATTGTACATTAAAATATCAAAAGTTACACTTTACCATACTGTATATTACACTATACTAACATAATTACTCAAAACATTACACTTTACCTTCTCATAATGCATCATGTTTCATCACTATACTATACACAACACTATACGTTTATACTGCTGAAAACATTACACTTTACCGCCTCATAATGCATTCTGTTTCATCACTATACTGTATATGACACTATACGCCAATTACTACTGAAAACAATTGCACTTTACCGCCTCATAATATATCTTATTTTATCACTATACTGTATATGACACTATACGTCCATTACTACCGAAAACATTACACTTTACGGCCTCATAATGTATCTTGTTTCATCACTATACTGTATATTACACTATGCGTCCATTACTACTGAAATCATTAAACTTTACCGCCTCATAATGTATCTTGTTTCATCACTACACTATAATGTATATTATTACACTATACTGTATATGACACTATACTGCATGTTTCACTATACCACCGTTACTCAAAACATTACACTTTACCTTCTATCACTGTATGCTCTTTCATCACTATGCCATACTTATGAATATCTACCGTAATAACCTATGTGTATGTGTTTTGTGCGTTCTTTTAAAGGGGTCTTACCTTTCGCACCCTGTAAAATAAGTTACTTGAATATACCCAGTTGTTAAACCTTTTCAATGAACATAGTTTATGGAAGCAAAGCGATTTGACATAAGCAGCAATATTAAAAGATGACCTAAAATATGATAAAAGATTCCACGTATGGTGATTATAAAATCTCTACGTTTGTAGCTATTTTGGCGTGTCTACGATATGATCCTAGGTGGGAGTGGGCGTTAAACCCTAGGAACAAACGAACAGGCTGTTTTGAATAGCCTCGTATTTCACACAATTAGTTTTTTTTCTGCTATATTCTACTGTGCACTGGTTAATTGAGCATAATACATTTTGGCGTTACGATGTAATGTAGCTGCAATTATCATTATAAACTTTTATGTTAACATAAAGCACTGGTTAATCCAGGTTGATTTGCCCGGCAGTGTTTGAGTGGGATTATAGGGCGAATCAAATGAAACACTGCGGGGAGTATGTATTGCACTATGTGTACATTATTACTTAAAATATTTCATTTTATCTTCACAGAATCTAGTCTGTTTCATCACTAACTTACACCGCTATCTGTATCGATACCCACTTGAAATGAATTAAATATAGTTATTTGCTTTTCATTTTCATGCCGTTAAAGTTTACATCATAAATAACCATGTATTACTACTGCGGCACAACAGTACTGCAGTGCGGTATATATATAGTACATCCTTAGAAATACAGTACGTTACATTACTACTGTCAATATTACAATGGATTGATAACTCTAACGTTGTCAATACAGCGTGTAAGCTCACCACTGTCAACATTTTAATTTAGTATATAGTTTTGGCATTGTAATAGATAACTCTAGTTATAGATACAATATACCACTGGCACTAGTGTAATAGATTATATGTGACATCACCATTGGCAACATCTATATTATAACGTTAGTGTGTAACATTACCCGTGTCAGTTCTGTAATAGATAACTCCTCTATTTTTTAACATTACCACTGTCAATACTGTAATAGATTACACCTATATTATAACATTAGTATGCAACATTACCCCTGTGAACACTGTAATAAATTACAACAGACACTTTAACTTTGTTATATTGTACTGTAGATTCCAGCTTCGTTATACATGCACTATACTGTACTGTACACCACTGTCAACAATGAAAATGGGGGTTGGATGGCTGTATCATTAAGTCAACTGGCGTGGTTTCGAATCCCCGGTTGTACGTGACAAGGAGTAGTGTCGCCTGTCCTCCCACTGTTAAAGACCCCTACGCGCAAGCGAACTATTGAAATAAAATTTTTAAAAACATATGTTAGTACCGAAATGACCTAGTATAGGTACACGTACATTATACCTTCAGTATGTAATATTACCACGTCCAGTATTACACCAGATTTAATACATTTAACTAATTATAACTGTCAAATCTGTAATAGATTGCGCGTATGCTGTAACTTAGGTGTCCACCATACTACACCAGTGTTACACTAGACTAAATAATTCAAAATCATAAATATTTTATATCAGTTTAACACTGTCAACTTAATAGACAATGTCAGCTTTATACAATATATCACTGTAATAGTTGAATTTATTACCACCATTAGTACATTATATGATATTACCGCTATCGATAGTACAGTAGATTAATGACAGCAAACCAACGTCGTATGCTACTAGAATATAATACTTCATCCTTGGTATTCCCAGTGGTTTCATTCCGTTCTACTCCACTGACCCCTGGGTTAATCTGTGGGGAACATGGGGAACTAGAAAAAATTACTTCATCCTTGATATCCCCAGTGGTTTCATTCCGTTCTACTCCACTGACCCCTGGGTTAATCTGCGGGGAACACGTTTTCAAGTTATCCGCCCTTGATGATTGTGATATTTTTATCGATCAATCCCATAAATCGTTAATTTCAAAGGAAGTTGGCAAAGGGAGTTAGCCTAAATGAGAGAAGTCCAAATTATTCTAAATGGCTATTTATTAACAACAAATTATATAATATTATATTAATGAAGACTGGACGTTCATATATATATATATATATATATATATATATATATATATATATATATATATATATGTAGGTTAGAGAGTTTTATTGAGTATCGTTCGTTCGTTCCCGGAGTTTAACGTGCACAAGTTATTGTGAACCGAATTGCCAAGTATAAGTTCAATAATAATAAACATAACAGAAAGAAACATCCCAGACAAAGAACGAATTGTAATAATAATAACAAAAGTCAAAAATACAGATGTTATACACATTTATATCAGCGAAAGATACTAGAAATTTTGATAATACATGTACAATTAAATATTAATGAATTAGAAATGAAATGAAATGTTGTTTAACGTCCTACGGCCTACTCTTATATCGAATTCCAACTGCCAAGGGATCTTTTACTTGCACGCCAATGTGTACACGGGACCTCGGTTTTTCGTCCCATCCGAACGACTAGGCAGCTGTCCTTGTCAGGCCCTCCGTTCTGCATCACTGACAAGGGGAAACCACGCCGGAAAATCGAGATGAACTTTCTCGGCCAATGCAGGGATCGAACACCCGACCTCCAGGCTAGCGAGCCAGCACCTTATCCACTTAGCCACGTGATCCCCAAATGAATTAGAAATATATACATTATTACATAAATCATTCAGTAAATGGGCATGAATATGGTTATCTACCTTTATAAAAACGAAGGCGAAACGACTGATTTGTAAACTGTTTTTGTATTGGTTCGTAGACTTTAGCTACAATCTAAGCCAGGGCAGATAATTTGAAATCGTGGAACCCAGGGTATAGTGGAGTAGAACGGAATGAGAACACTGGGGATCCCGAGGAAGATATTAATTCGACGAACATTTTAAATACACTATGCTATTTAACCACTGTCGATGACTCGATACTGTAATAGTTTAAATTAGACTACCATTGTAAACACGACATGCTATGTTACCATTGTCGATACTGAAAGAGATTAATTAGACTTGCATTGCGGTGTGCAGTGTTACCACTGTCGATACTGCAATATATTAATTAGACTAACATTACAAACGCGTTATGTATAGTTACCACTGTCGATACTGGAATGGCTTAATGCGATTCACATTGCGGTATCAGTTGTTATTACATTCGATAGTTCAATGTTCGTTATAAATACAGTACGATGCAGTATCCCCCGACGAAA